TCTCTAGAATGGAATGTGGACTTAAGAGTTAGATTACATTCACTAGCATATGTGGTTTCATTCTTATGCACAACATTGCATTCACTGAGAATGGCTATTAAGGAAAAAAGATCAAGATTTCCTCGGGATTTCTTCGTTATGCATAATTGCATGTGGTATTCTGTATATGCTTCTTTGATTAGTTTTTGTATTCTTAGACTTGTTCGGGTGATTCTAGACGTTTGTTAGGATGTTACTCATAGAAAATAGTTTGTGAAATCGTTTGGTTCTAGTAATTATGATGGTATAATCATTATAAATGGTCCAATACTACCAAGCCTGTTTATATTTTGTTATATTGAAGTAGTTAACCAGCTTTTAGAGTCCATAGTTTCTTAATTCAAACGCTATTGTGATGTTTTTAGATGAATGTGATCTTATTGCTAGCTAGTTTTCAATTCTAAACTTGATTGCTTATGAGATGTTTTATTCATGGATAATAAATCATGAGGTTTGTGTAAACTCCGTTTGGGAAGATGGTTTATGGGTTTTTTTGGCTATTTTAGTCACAAAAGACAAAATATGCTATTTTAGCCACAACAAACAAAATATCACATCTAACCCATACTCATTACACTATTCTCTCACAAAAAAAGTCAAAAAAATCAAAAAGTCAAAAACCTCTTCCCAAACGAAGCCATGTATTTTTCAAGTAAGAGGTAGTTTCTGACTGTGGCAATTAAGTTTTGAGCCATGTTGGGGACCCCCAGTTGGGAGGTGACCCCCAGCACCCCCACTCCACGTGGGAGGCTGTGGACCAAGAGAAAATAAAAAATAAAAAAAAATAAAAAAAAATTCAACCAATCGCGTGCCGCCACATCAGCTGGGGGTCACTGGAGGTCTTCAAACTGGGGGTGCAAATCATTTTTCTTAAGTTTTTTAGCAAACTCCTTAGTTAACCCCTCTTCCACATCAATGCCACAAACCAAACTCTTATGGAATTAATCTTAAGGCCTGACACCACTTCATAACACCTTAGAATTCTTTTGATCGTAATGAGTTCATCCCATGTGGCTTCACAAAAGATAATGGTGTCATGCAAATTGTAAATGAGAAATTTTTAACCCTTGATGACCCACTAAAGCACCTTTAATCAGCCCCTTTTGTTTTGCTCTCCTCAAAAGGATATTCAACCCTTCTGCCACTATATTAAATAGTAAAGGTGATAATGGATCACCTTGCCTCAACCCTTTTTGAGAAGAAAATTCTGCTGTGGGTGACCCATTTACAAGCACTGAAATCCTTGGCGTAGAGATACACTCCTTTATCCACCCCATCCATTTTTGAAGTTGCTGATCAAAAAAAATAAATGTATTTTTGAAGTAAACTTTAAACCCTAAACTTGTAAACAAAATCTCTACATTAACTTGGGATTGAACATACTCACTAACCATATAAAAGTCATCGCCTCTTGGCGATAATGCATGTTGAATTTTGACGGGATTTCAGCACTTAGGCCATTGAATTAGTAATTTTGCTATTTTTAGAAAGTTTTGTTTTTGTAATAATTGGGCTAAGAATGTCTTTTTTTAGTTCTGTCTATTTTGGAAATTTAGGCTCAAGTTTATCAAATAATTAACATAGTTAGCTAATTCCTATTTAGATTAGGTCTTCTCTGATTACAAGTAAGGATGCACGCCATGGAGTTAGAACAAGACAACTTAATTTTATCAATAAAATTCAATCATCCTTTGATGATTTCGCTTCAAGACTCTCCGTTTATTACAACAATATCTAGTTCTATGTAATAATCAGGTGCGTCATTTTCTCTCTTCTCAACAAAGTTTGTAAGAGAAAAATAGTTCCCAAAATCTATGTCCAATACTTAGGCTTATGTGAAAGAATTAATTTGAAGCATAGAGGAAGTTATGCACTTGGTCATGCCATCCAATTCCCAATAGATGCTAGAGCTAGCTTTGATTATTTATGTTAGGAAAAAAATGTTGTGTTGGCAAATTCACTCTAAAGGTTGAGTTTGTAATTATAATTAACTTTATAGAACTTTCACTTTAAAGGTTGAGTCTGTAATTCTAATTTTAAACAAACTTTCAAAGTGAGAAAACTAAAACTCATGCATTGCATTAACATTATTTTGAAGGTCTTATGTTGTTTAATTTGTTGGGTTGAATTTATATATATATATATTTTTTTTAATTCTTAATTTTGTTGCGGGCTTCACTTTTTAGACCCATAGACTAGATTATGGGCATGGAACATCTCGAAAGACAATATATTTCACGGACATAAGCATCGCATTCAAGTTCGTAGTAGTTATGTTCGAATGAGAATGTGTTTTTTGTTGTAGTTAATTTTCTAAATGTCAATCATTTGAATGCTTCGCTTTGTTTCTGAAATACAAGACCATTGTTGACACTTTTGGCAATGAATTTTTGGCTAAAAAAAACTCAAAAGACAAAATTGACTATATAAATTAATAAGATAAAATGTTACATTTAAATTATAATCATTACACTTTTTTTTTACAAAAATCAAAAAAATCAAAAACAAAAGCCAAACGAGACTAAAAAAGTCAAGCTAAAATAGTCATAAACCAAAAAACTAAGTTATTTTAGCTCTTCCCAAACGAAGATTAATTTCTTTGTGAAATTGATTCCTTGGGACTTTATTTTTTTAAGAATTAGGCGATGATCATTGGCAAATTTTGCCTTTTGCCGCAGCCCATTTGAAATCCGTGGAAAATGAATTTATGGGCTTTCATTTTCTTCTCTTCAATCTGGCCAGGCTGTAGGAACTGGGCTTCCCTCTCAGTTCACTGCTTGTTAACGGCCCTGATTCGATCCTACTAGTTCTATCTACTATACTATTGTATGGTTGGTCATCTATCTATCTATCTATATTATTATAAAGTGAACAGGAACTTTGGTGTCCTGAAATTTTACTCTCATGCCATGTGGCAGTATTTTTTATTTTTTAAAAAAAAGTTAAACAAAGAGATGGACAATGCTTGAACCCATGACCATGGGTTTAAGTACGAGGACTCATACCACTTAAGCTAAGTACACATTACAATATTAATTTCATTATTATTTTTTTTATTCCTATTTATTTAAATTGCACACACATCGTGTGTGCCACCCACTAGTACTATTATAAAGTGAACAGGAACTACATCGTGTGTGCCACCCACTAGTACTATTATAAAGTGAACAGGAACTTTGGTGTCATGAAGCTTTACTCTCATGCCATGTGGCACTATTTTTTATTTTTTAAAAAAAAGTTAAACAAAGAGATGGGCAAGGCTTGAACCCATGACCATGGGTTTAAGTACGAGGACTCATACCACTTAAGCTAAGTACACATTACAATATTAATTTCATTATTATTTTTTTTATTCCTACTTATTTAAATTGCACACACATCGTGTGTGCCACCCACTAGTTGTATCATAATTGTTTAATCTAGTTGGTGTCTTTCCTGTTTTGGAGTTTGGCTATAAAAAAAAAAAAAGGTCAGTTTATGATATATAAAAAATTGGGACATTTCCACACAAGTTTTAGTTTATAAATTTATACTCCATTAAGTTTTAACTAAGATTTTTTAGACCTTCAAATCCTATTAAATTTTTAATAGTTAGAATTGTCATTCAAACAATGATTGTTCATCATTTATGATTATTAATAAAAAAAAATGATCATTTGATATTTATTTTGATTTTCAAAACTTTAAAATATCGATTTTCAAATTAAAAAAATTAAAAAAATATATTTTTTTTAGAAAAGATTAGAAAAACTGAATTATTTTTTTGTGTGAAAATGAAAATTTTGTATCTATATAAAAGAGCATGATAATGGAACATTGATATGCAAAACTGAAAAAAAAAAAATTAAATAGAAAAACTTATAATGTTATCAGTTTTAAAACTAAAATAAATTGTTAATGTTCTCAATTTTATTCGATAGTTAAATAAACTAATAAGTAGAAAGGCAAAAACGTTAATCTCATGCTTTGTTTTTTTATCAGTTAGTGAAATAATTATTTGAAACATTACAATGCAAAATTGATAATATTATTAGTTTTAAAAATTAAAAAAATTGATAATATTTTCAATTTTATTAAATAAAACTTACTAGTTCAAAAAATTCTAAATAAGACTTGAGTTATCATAACATTTATAAATAAGACTTTTAAATAATTAATTTTAAAAAATTAAATAGTCGCTGAGTAGTTTATTAAAATATCATATTAATTAACATTGTTTAGTGTAGCTGTTATAATTTTTTTTAATAATAATTATTATCATAAACTGTTTCACATCTCACTAACTACTTCAAATAGTTTTAATATAATTTATTGAATGAGTTATGATTGTACATGCATTCTCATACAAAATAAATAAATTAATTAAAATTTACCCCACCTTTAATATTTAGTAGAATTTACATATAGATCTTAATAGATAAATTTATTGTTCAATAGAAATTTTGTAAGAATTAATGATATTTTTTATCAAATACTATTAAAAAAATCGTCACTAATTATTAATTTTTAACAATAGTTTAAAAATTTTATTATAAAAACACTATTAAAAAAAATCATCACTAATTATTAATTTTTAGAGAAAGTTTAATAATTTTATCATAAAAAATGTCAATAATTATTAATTTAGTTACACTTTAAAAAATTCTTCACAAAAAAATTCACTAATCTTAAACTTTTAACAACAGTTTAAAAGATTTATCATAAAAAAAAATGTTACTAATTATGAGTTTTAGCGATAATTTATAAAAATCATGACAAAAAATTATTAATTGTTAATTTTTAATGACATATATAATAAATTTTCATAAAAAATTATTTTTAATAAATTTTTTTATTAAAACTTATTTTCAATACGAGTTAATAATTTCTAAATAATTATGAAGATTTATTGATAATTTATATTTTATTTTTTTAATATAATTTATTGAACGAGTTATGATATGGTAATGTATTCTGATAATCTAAGAGTAGCAGTTGTACCAGCGAGACCCTTTCAATTCGTTGACTTGTTTGGAGTCTCCATCGTGGTAGTGAGAGAGAGAGGGAGAGCGAGAGATCAGACTGTCTTTCGTCAGTACTACACATCTTTAGGGCTTAGGAAATTCTCTTCCTCTACCAATCGGATCACAGCAAGTTATGGCGATTTAACTCTTTCTCACAGCAACAATGTCCAGCAATTGATGATTTATAGGCAAATTGAGGTCTTCATCAACACATTTGCGTACTGTTCTTCCACTCGTTTCCATTAGGTACGTTTGATTCGATCATTTCAGGTTCTTTTTGCGTGTCTTTTCATGATCTATCTATCAATGCATTTCATTTCATTGTTGTTTTGAAACGCATACCATCTGTTCGTCAAATTGACCCAGAAATCGCTTTCAGTTAAAGTTAGAGTCTGTTTGGATTGTGCAATTTGATGAGAAAGAGGGAACTTTGGTTTACAAATTAGGTGAGAATGGATGAGAAATTATTAGAAATGGAGAGACTGAGATTACCCATCAAAAGGGAAGAAAATAAAAAAAAGGAAATCTTACATCCAAACAAACATGATAGTGAGAAAATCCAATCATTTCTTTACTTTTCATGTTGTTGATCAAACAATGGTGAAGGTTTCATCATTCAGTAGATTCATCATCTGAATTATAACACCTTATTATGTAATTGGACTTTTGCTTAGACAGTTTATCATAGAATTGTCACAAATTGCATATTATTCTACAATCAGATTGGAAGTTCTTCATTCAAACTTGTGTTGCCTTATAACTTCTTCTGTTTTTACTTTTTATTTTATTTTATATATTCCAAATTGAAAGAGAAAAGCCAAGTTGAGTGAGTGCTCTCTTGTAGATTTCCGAAATACTACTCGGAATTGTTGATCTGTCCCGTAAATTGTTCAGGATTGGTTGCAGTGGCCTAGCCAGAAATTTCCTTTAGCGGGGTCATTTAACAAAGCATCATCAATGTCATATATCATATTTTTAGTTCTACACAATATGTCAACATTAACATTCACATAATACTCTGTAAATTTCATATATTCCCAAATCACATTGACAAAAGTAACTCAAACTAGTGAAATTACAAGTAAAAACAAAATATTGGGATATTAACACCATTACTTCAACACCAATAAGTAAATATCTACACTACTATGTGACTTATTTCTGTGTCATTTCTAAATAAAGTTTGATTTTGTTTTTACCTTTTGGGGTCAATTTGTAAAAGTTTAAAAATTAATTTATTTTATTTAGGCCCACTAGGTTCAGTTTGTAAATACTCATAATTTTTTACATATACTCTATCAAAAGTTTGAAGTTCAGTGGTGTTAATTGACACCACTATTCAAAGCATAGCTCCGCCTCTGATTGGTTGAATTGTCTTCATGAATATTACTGTAAAGCATTGCTTTATTTTATTTTATTTTATTATTATTATTTTTTTGTGTTATTTCCAAATTCCCATGCTTTGGGATTTTGTTGTACTATGCAATCCGTCTAACAAGGCTGCTAAAATCACGATCTGGATCTTATGATTCATTTGGACAATTAATATGGATAATTGTGTAGAAAATCTCGTCCATGTAGGATATTTCGATTGTGACATTGTTGGATTGTGGAATCCCACAGTGGTGTTCAAAGGTGTGTCTAAACACAGTACAAGTGTGTACCCAACATGTTCTGTAAAAAATAATATTTAAAAAAATCGACTCACCATGTCGTGTGTCCAACATGTCGACTCGCTTGTCTGCACCGAGTTGGTGTGCGATGTATGGTAGACACGAACATGGACACGGTAGTGAGTTTGGAGTGTTCGTGCTTCTTAGGCAACTACTACTGTTATTTTTTTATTTTTTTCAAATGATACATAAAAATATATTTTTCTTTTATCTTTCTCTTCTTTGAATTTTAATCTATTTTGAAATCCAGCTTTGTTTACTATTTTTTTGTCTTTCCTTTTATGTACTACTACTGCAGAGTGCAACATGCTCTGTTATAAAACTGTTTTTCTCCACCTGTTCTTTTTTTGAAATGCATAATTTTTGCCATCGAACTTTCTATTATATAATGTTTTTATTTACATGATATAATTATATTTTTAACCTCATTTTAGATTCATTTTGTGTTTACTTATTCGAAATGTTTATTATTATAACATTATTATCTAAGAAGCACGGACACTTTAAAAAATGTGACGTATTTGTGTCGTGTCCGTGTCGGACACCGACACTCTTTGAACACTCATAGAATACGTGTCCGACACTCTTCAAAATGTGTCTTATTTTTTAAATTTTTTTACAGACCTGAATACTCTTTGGACATTTGAAGGACACATGTGTCAATCGCTAAAACACACATGTCTATCGATTAGACGCATGTGAAACTAATTATAAGTTGGAACAAAATAACTTAAGATACAATAATAAAATAAAAACCATATAAATTTGTAGGAATTAGTGTCATATTGCATTTTTTATTATCTTTGAATGATATATTCATATGTATAACATATAATAAATATATAAAATTATATATTTCATGCGTGACCCCCACGTGTCATGTTCTGCATTTTTTTGAAAATTAACGTGTCGGCGTATCCATGTCGTGTTACGTGTTTATGTCCATGTTTCTTAGATTATTATGCATTTTTTTCCTGGTAAGTAAGATCATACGATCCTCAATCTAATTCTACATTCACATTCTGTAAGCCCCTCCAACAAGCCAAGGTAGAACCTCAATTTTGGCGATCTTGTCTCCTAAAAGTCTTCCAATAATGCAGCAGTGCACACATGGATTTATGATTCACCCACTGAAAATTCAAGTAATAGAAACACATCTCTCAGTCACTGGAGTCATCCTTATATTACATTTATGGACCATTTTCTACTTATACATTCAAACAACAAATGCGTGGGATATTGATATGATCAAGTCATTTGCTTCAAGACTTTGTGTAAAAATCACTTGGTTGTGGGCCCTTCAGAGAAGTGGCTTACTCCAATGAGCTTGTAGCATTTAACCATACTTTTTCCAAGTCATTGATGATGGCTAATTGTAATTGTCAGTTTTTTTTGTTTTTTTTCTTCTTCTTAAATGATTGTTGGAAGTTGGAATATCGTTTGCAAGGTGATTATGGTCAATCACTCTTTGTACATTATTTTTTTCAGGTTCAACAAATATATTGGAGACTCTGAAGGTTAAAATTTGCTACTAAATTTTCGTAATCACTGGAGTAGGGATTGACAAAAGCTGAAGTGGCAGGAAGTTGGCTTATCAACCAGAAGACAACTGTTAAAGTGGACCTGATTCCTGTGATTTTGTTGTAAAACGAGAAGTAAAAAATGGGAAGTGCAAAATTTCCCAAGCGCTATGTGATTGTCATTCTAACCTTCATCTGCACTTGTGTATGCTACATTGAACGTGTGGGCTTCTCAATTGCATATACTGTTGCTGCCGATGCTGTAGGGGTGAACCAGTCAAGCAAAGGCACCATACTTTCGACATTCTATTATGGTTATGCCTGTTCACAGATACCTGGTGGATGGGCAGCTCAGAAAATAGGGGGAAGGCGTGTTCTCCTTCTCTCATTCTTATTATGGTCTCTCACGTGTGCTTTAGTACCACTAGACCCAAATCGAGTCATGATTTTGGTGATAGCTCGTTTACTTGTTGGGGTGGCACAAGGGTTCATCTTCCCATCCATCCACACCGTCCTTGCACAGTGGGTCCCACCTCACGAAAGGTCAAGATCTGTTTCTCTCACAACATCTGGAATGTATCTAGGTGCAGCTATGGGGATGCTTTTGCTTCCTAGCCTGGTGAAATTCAGGGGTCCCCAATCTGTATTTCTTGCTGAAGCAGCATTGGGTTCCATGTGGTCTCTACTTTGGTTCAAATACGCAAGCGACCCACCTCGTTCTGAGCATCCAAAAGCATCTGCCGCCGGTTTTGGGGAATCTTTGTTGCCAATCAAAGGGAGTCTGAAGGCAAAAGTGGAGAAAGGAGGTCATTCCGTCAAAACTGCCCAAATTCCATGGAAGAAGATTGTCCTCAGCTTACCCGTTTGGGCAATTGTTGTGAATAATTTCACATTCCATTACGCCTTGTATGTTCTGATGAACTGGCTGCCCACATATTTTGAACTCGGGCTCCAACTTAGTCTTCAGGAAATGGGTTCTTCTAAGATGATGCCTTATCTGAACATGTTTGTATTCTCAAATATAGGTGGGGTGATTGCTGACCACTTGATCACCGGAAGAATCTTGTCCGTGACTAGAACGCGAAAGGTCTTGAACACCGTCGGATTTGTAGTGGCATCTTTTGCTTTGATGGCGATTCCCCTCTTCCGAACATCTGGTGGGGCAGTGTTTTGTTCTTCCGTGGCTCTCGGTTTTTTAGCACTAGGGAGAGCAGGTTTTGCAGTAAATCACATGGATATTGCTCCAAGGTATGCCGGAATTGTTATGGGAGTTTCTAATACAGCTGGTACATTAGCGGGTATTATTGGGGTTGATCTTACAGGTCGGCTTCTTGAATCTGCTAAAACTGCTGATTTGGATCTTTCGACTCCAGAAAGCTGGAGAGCCGTGTTCTACATCCCAGGCTTGCTTTGCATCTTTAGTTCTTTTGTGTTTTTACTATTTGCGACTGGGGAGAGGATTTTTGACTGAGGTAAGCTTGTTTTGCATGTTATCGTTGCTGACAGAAAGTAATTACTGTCATCTGGTAGATAATTTAAGAAATGGTGTTAGAGCCATTGGATTCCTTAGTATATCGTCCGTTCTTGATAAGAGACACGTGTTCAAGCTCCTTGGCTAGTTTAGTATATTGTCCACTCTTGATTGAGACACGTGTTCAAGCTCGATGGCACGGGAAAACCCAGAGTAGTCAGGATAGAGTTGGACATGTATTTGAAGATATCATTGCCATATTTGTCAATGTATATTTATTGAAACCTCATTCACCCATTTTTTTTTTTTTATTTGTATACCCATTTTTTTGTACACTTTTGCTTACTTTTGTTTGTCATTGGTGATCAAGATGGCTATAAATTTGTAATTCATTTTCAGTTAAAAATACTTGATTTCGACCTATTTCTGTAAGGCAGATATTTTCAATTTAAGTTTCAGGACAAATTTTCATGAGTGAAATCATCTATAATTTTGTGGTTGGTTGATATTTGCAATTGTGGTATGAACTGATGCAGTGCTATATTGTATATGACAACCAATTTCCATGATGCCCTGTTTTGTAATGGCTGATTTGAGGATGTGGGATAATAATAGAAGCAATAGAAGCAAAATTGAATCCAACTATAGGCAGACTTGTGCTTGTGCGGTAGGAGTCAGCGTGGTTCAAAACTGAAATAAACCAATATCAAACAACTCTACGGTTCTTGAAATTTGGAAACCAAACAAAAGCAAGAAACACATTTCGTTTCGGTTTCAAACAACAAATTTTATAAATCTTGCTATCGTTTACAACATAATCACAACATACTCAAACATCAAGTAACATGTCATCATTTTACTAACAAAATTGTTTGAATAATTGTTTAGAATTCTGCCATTATATAACACCTACAAAAGTAAACGATTAACAACTTATAAATACATATGATACACAATAAGGTACTCGAGTGTCTATCATAAACAACAATATACATATATATATATATATATATCTAAATGGTCTGAAATGGATTCAAATTTGAACCACAAACCAAACCGTACAATACAGTTCACCTGTTTTGGGAAATCACATGCTGTATGGCACAATTGAAGGTTCTATATAATGAAGGAAATGCTGCTAATGATTGTACATCCATTTCCCAAAACTAAAGTAGGCGTATGCAGTCAAGTTCATTTCATATTAAATACAAAAGATTTTCTTCACTGACTCTACAAGAGGTCTCTTAGAACCCAGAATAAGCAATTCCATAGAAATAATTTTCGCTACAATCCAATCTCTGATTTGCATGAATGCATGAACATTTCCTTCTTCCAAGTTATTCATCCATCTCCACATCAACTAATCAAAAATCAACTAAAGCATCTTAGCAAATTCTTTCAATGGTAAGTCCGATGGTCACTAAAAAAATTATTTCTTAGGGTGAGTTCGATAGTCAGGCCCAACGTCACGTGAACCAGTGTTGATGTAAGGCCCTCGGAAAGTTGCCTGAGGTGGTAGTGGCTTTGAAGAGTCAATCACAGGCTTCATCCTTGATGACTTGGACCTGAAAGTAACACACAGTTAAGTTGTAATTATGTTTGAAGCGATGATATACATTAGTGAAATTGTTATCAGAAATCTAGATTTTACTTACGCCATGTAAAAGGGAAATGCTAAGCCTACAGCTGCAAAAGCTACCAAGCCAGTGGCAACTATGGCATTGCGCGTTCGGAACATCAGGATTGCTGAAGCAAAGCCAACAAACAAACTGCAAAGCAGAGAAACAAGATTATTATTATATTTTTAGGGGACTTACGTGCAAGTTCTGGACTTATTGTCCAATAGATCTTATGATAATTAATGACATTTTTTATCAAACACTATTAAAACAAGTCACTAATTGTTAATTTTCAATAACAGTGTGAAAATTGTCACAAAAAATGTCACTAATTATAAGTTTTAGTGACAGTTTAAAAAAAAACGTCACTAATTTCTTACTTCCAACGACAATTTGAAAAATTCGTCACAAAAAAAGTCACTAATTGTAAATTTTAGCAACAATTTATAAAAATAGTGATAAAAAAAAATCACTAATTGTCAATTTTTAGCGACATGTGTAAAAAATTGTCACAAAAAATTATTCTAAGAGACGATTTTACCAGGACTTATTTTCAATAGAACTTGATGAGAATTAAATCTAACTATTAGGACCTATTAGTAGTTTACCCTATATTTTTTGGGGAAAAAAAATAAAAGGGCTATCAAACTCCATTTTCAAATACACAACTAAAAAATAAGTGCATAAGTAAAGAACAATTTATGTTGACACTAGTAAAAAGGTTAGGGGTACCAAATATGCAAATGACAAAATGTTTCAAGCTGGAGTTGCTGTTTGCTACAAAAATACAGCTAGGAATGTAAAGATTGATAAAGAATTAAAACTTTCTTTTTTCTTTTCTTATCCAAAGAGAATGCTTATAAGTTCTACCAATCATCAAAGGTGGCTCAACCATTAAGCCACTTAATCCGTCACCTAAAACCTACCAAGAAAATCTCAAAAGATTCTTATTGTGGAAAGCCCCAAATTTCATTAAGCACAATCGAACAAGGCATGATTTTAGTCAGAGGCCTCAAAAATTATTGAGCTGCTACTGCCAATCATGTAGAGATTATCTTGGAAAGAGCATCACATGAATCAATGAAATGGTAAATAAACAACTTCCTATATGCTATATTGAATACAATGTACATAAGTTTACTAAATAGAACCAAACTTATTTTTACTAAATTTAAAATAGAAACAAAATTCTCTGAAATTATCAATTTCGAAAAATGGCACTTCTAAACTAGTTCATTGTCTGCAGTAGCTAAATATTCCATTAAAAATAAAATAATTTATGAACTTCCTCAAGAACAGAAACAAACCAAATATACATCCCAATTTTTTTTTGTCTAAAAACGGGAACTTGATACAAACCAAAGTAAGACATATCCTCCAAACAACAAAATATGTGAAGCAACCAATTCAACATAATTAGGGTTTTTCATGTACAAAATTCTCATAATTTGGCTGATCACCACAACATCAGACAATATTCAATGGCAATATAGTAAGACAGTTTAGATAAAAGTGTATATTAGAATCATTTATTTGAAAAGAATTGGTACAGAACAAGCTCATTCCTATTCTTACGAAGATGAAAAGGAAGATTAAGAAATCAGTAAACCCTAATTCGAACCACACATTTTCATAGATATGTATATCCCTGTATCTATAACACAATTCAAATTAATTAAAAAAACTCATTTACCTGATAATTGGAGTCCGATCGCCGGAAAACAACTCTGAGCCGATCTGATAAGCCGAATCGCTTCGTCTTCCAAGTGTTTGGTTTTGGGGGTAATAGAAAAAGAAATTATCCAGTGTTCTGCAGTGTCCAATATTTTTTGTCTCAAGCTGTAGATCTCACACGGATCACAGTGCTGGTTTGGGTTTTCGCGCAGTGAAATATGAGCCGTCCGATGCTCTGCCCGATCCTTTTCCGGAATGAAGTTATTGGTTCTTAGAGTACCGTCGTGTGATGTTTTGGGGGTGACATTGATTGGTAGAGTGAATGGGATTTATAAATTTGTGTTTAGTAATTTAAAAATATAAGAGCGCTTGATAAATTATAATTGATGAGCGGCATGGCTATGTAATGTCCTTGACTAATCAATAATTTTTTTTTTCTAAGAATAATTGATTTTTTTATTTTAAAATAAATTATAAATACATACTTTAAATTTATTTAAAATATAAATTGTCCTTTATAGTTTTAAGAATTACATCTAGTCTCTTTAAATTTTAAAAGTGTAATTTTAGAAATTATAAATGTTTTTTATTAAAAAAAATTATTTAATAAAATTTTAAAAAATAAAATTTCAAACTATTATATCATGTAATAAAATTATTTAAATTATTAATTAAATTAATAATTTATTAATAAAGACAATTAATTATTATGTTATTAGAAACTTAAAAGGAAGAAATATAATTTTTAAAAGTTAGAGAATGTTCTAAATAAATATATTTTTTGATTTTTTATAAAAAAAAATTATGTAAGAAAAATATAAAGGTGATATGAACTGAAAAAAGATAAAATATATTTTTATAGGAAATACCAAATAGTATTAATAATTTATATTTTCAACAGTGTATTTATAATTTATTTCAAATTTCAAAAAGGGAGAGGCTCTCATCACTAGTAGGGGTGGGCGTGGGTCCGTTGCGGCCACGGAACCTCCAATTCGCCATTCGTCTGTCAGATTGGCGGATTGGAGAAAATCAATTCGCATCTGTCCGCCAATCTGGCGAATGTGGATTGAGCGGATTGGCGGATGAATGCAAATCGGTTTGGTGGTTTAAAATTTTATAAATTTTTAACATAATTCAACTTGTGTACTTCCTCAAAAAAAAAAGAAAAAAAAAGTATTATAATTAATGACTTTAAAAAAATATTACAATCACTGCATGCCTCATCCAAAGCAAGAAAATTTGAAACTTTAGAATATCACAATCACTGCATGCCTCATCCACATACTACAATCACAATATGTCTCATCTACATAAAGTATTACAATCTGTGGTTCTTAAAATATAAAAATAATTCAAACCACCAAAACCATGAACAGAACAGTAGTAGAGATTGTATGTCTCTGTATTGTTACATTTATATATGTTTTTGAAAACAAAAACCAACCAGCATATATCATATTTTCTATTTATTACTTTTAGAGATAGATTTAAAAATAAAAAAATATAGATAAATAATACGTTTATTTTTTTCAATTTAAAAAAGATATTCAAGTTGAAAACTTTTTTAGGGGATTTGGTGATAGACCCCTCACTGTCTAATTTATCTTTCAAAAGGACAAAAATTATATAGGTACTTTCAAAACCCCCTAATATTTTAAAATTTGTTTCTTTTACTATATTACCCTCATATCTATTAGCTCTCCTATTAAGTCATTTTCACAGTGTATTTTAGAGTAAAATTGTATATTGTTAAGCAAATCAACATGTTTTTAACCAAAGTAAAATTTTACTCTGATTCAGAATAAAACTTTATTCTGAAAGTACAATTTTACTTTGAATCAGAGTAAAATTTTACTCTAAAAGTATAATTTTACTCTAAATCAGAGTAAAATTTACTATGATTTAAAGTAAAATTTTATATCGTTAAGCAAATCAACATGGTTTTAACCAAAGCATAATTTTACTTTGAAAGTATAATTTTACTATAATCTAAGGAGAGTATCCACTTTGAATCACACTAAGTGTCATGTATTAATAACCTTGTGTGTTTGGTTGCTGAGAAAATCACAGAAACATAACAAGAAAACCAAATATAATTTGGTTGCTGAGAAAATCAACATGTTTTTTAACCAAAGTAAAATTTCAGAGTAAAGTTTTACTCTGAATCATAGTAAATTACTATGATATTAATTAGACTTAACCGTTTGATATTTGATATTTGATAATCGGTCACACCAATCTCAATCCAACAATCCTGAAGAAAAACGGTTAAGTCTAATTAATAAGCTTTACATTCAAAAATGGTATTCTAAAATTAAAATAATTATCAATGATTTTGAATTAGAATTAATTGCTTTAATCGATACTGGTGCTGATTTAAATTATATACAAGAAGGTTTACTTCCTACTACATATTATGAAAAATGTCAAGAGAAATTAACTTCTGCTAATGGTAGTAAAATGCATATCAAATATAAATTACCTAAAGTTCATGTTTGCCAAGATAATGTATGTTTTAAAACCTCCTTTGTTTTAGTTACAAATATGACTGAAAAGATTATCTTAGGTTCCCCATTTATATATTTATTATATCCATTTACTACATCTAGTACAGGAATAACTACATATGTTTTAGGTCAACCCGTCACATTTAAATTTTTATCTCCCCCTGAACTCTTAAAATTAAATCAATTAAAAGATTGTTCCATTTCCCATAAAATTAGTCGTTTAACTCGGCATTTAAATTTTCTTAAAGAAGAAATTAATTATAAATGCATTGACCAACAATTAACTGATCCAATTATTATTTCTCAAATCAATGATTTCAAATTAAAACTTGAATCCACTGTTTGTTCTACCTTACCTACTGCATTTTGGCAAAGGAAAAAGCATGTAGTTACTTTACCTTATATTAAGAATTTTGATGAACGGCAAATTCCTACTAAATATAGACCAATTCAAATGAATCATGAATTACTTGAAATGTGTAAAAAAGAAATTAATGAATTATTAAATAATCGCATCATTAGTCCAAGTAAATCACCATGGTCTTACCCTGCTTTTTATGTTAACAAAAATGCTGAATTAGAAAGAGGAGTCCCTCGCTTAGTTATTAATTATAAACCCTTAAATGCTGTTCTAGAATAGATTCGATATCCTATTCCCAATAAAAAAGATTTAATTAAAAGACTTAGTCAAGCCGTTATTTTCAGTAAATTTGATTTAAAAAGTGGTTTTTGGCAAATTCAAATCCACCCCAAAGATAGATATAAAACTGCTTTTAATACACCCTTTGGTCAATATGAATGGAATGTCATGCCATTTGGTTTAAAAAATGCTCCTAATGAATTTCAACATATCATGAATGGCATATTCAACCCATTTAGTCATTTTTCAATTGTTTACATTGATGACATATTAATTTTTTCAAAATCAATTAATGAACATTGGAAACATTTAACTGCATTCTTTTATACTATTAAAAGTCATGGTTTGGTCATATCTGCTCCTAAAATTAAATTATTTCAAACTAAAGTTAGATTCTTAGGCTATGATATTCATCATAATACTATTTTACCCATTAGTAGATCCACTGAGTTTGCGTCCAAATTCCCTGATGAAATTCTGGATAAAACCCAATTACAAAGGTTTTTAGGTTCTCTCAATTATATTGCTGAATTTTACAAAGACCTTAGGAAAACTTGTCAACCTCTATTTGATAGGTTAAAGGATAATCTTCCTCCTTGGTTTTCTGTTCATACTGCTATTGTTCAACAGGTCAAACAATATGTTAAAACTCTTCCTTGTCTTGGTATTCCTACTGAAAATTCATTCAAAATTATTCAAACTAATGCCTCCGATATTGGTTATGGCGGCATTCTTCTTCAGAAAGTTACTCCTCAATCACCAGAACAAATTGTTCGTTACCATTCTGGTGTCTGGAATAAAGCACAATTAAATTATAGTACTATTAAAAAAGAAATTTTATCCACTGTTTTATGTATTCAAAAATTTCAAGATGATCTTTTTGTAATATTGATCCATAGAATCAAAGAAAGATAATTCAAAACCATATTGAACCATAAAATCATACCATTTTCTAGTTATTCGGGATTGCTGAGCAGAATTATATTTAGCACGATAAGCATGTCTTTTAGTTTTATTTTCTTTGGATCGAAAGTCAATAAGTAATTTATCTAAATCAGGAGTAAAATCTTTTTTGATTGTCATTAATTGGGGATTCACGGGTGGTGTAAATTCTTCGAAATCCGTTTGAGTTGGAGAAGTATTGGAAGCAATGTCTTCTTCTGGTAAATGTGTAGGAGTATAAACAGGTTTACTAATTTGGGAAGTGGTAGAATTATCAATTCCTTTTAATTTATTAGTAGAAGGTTGATTATTTTGACCAAGATAGATTTTACTATTTTTTCGAAATAAAGGAGTATTAAATATTTCATCTTTAGTTTCAATATCAGTTGGAACACTGGAAGTACTATGTCTAGAGGATTGACTGCGATTAAATTTTATTCGAACAGAACCATCATTGAATTGGTGAATGTCTTGGATATCTTGTATGGAGGATTGTTGTTGATTATGTTTATAATTTTCATTAACAATAATCCATTGATCATTTAATTGGCAGTTTGGGTATATTCCATCCAGCATCAAATTTATCATTTTGTATTTCAACATCTTCTTCATTAATTACTAATCCTTGATTAGGTATGGAAGGCAAAGTTGTTGACCTAGAACTCACTGACGAGTTACTTCTAAATAATCGACTTATTGTTTTGTTTAATTAATCAGTTTTACAGATATCTTAATACATACCCTATTCTTGTTTGTTTTACCTCATACCTAGTATACATACATACCCTATTCGGAAGACCCCTAATGTCCAATACAGCCTAATTCTAAGGACTTACTCAGGACAGGGACGAAAGTGGGTGACTTAAACTAGGTGGATATAACAGACTGATCTTTTGGGTGATTAAGATGAACAGAAAACAAGATTAATTAAATAAACAATAGAGAGGATTGACTAGAAGTAGCAAAGCAGTTAGAAACAGGATACAACATCACTTGGCTCTGATACCAAAAGAGGGTGAAGCAAAGCATAAATGAAGGAGATGGATTACGAAATCAAAAAGATAATTATTTGAACAATTTTGGAATAAACATTA